GATATTTTGAAAAACCATCATGATATCATGAGACGATTGTTTTCTTTTTACTCAGTGGTAGCACCAGCATCTGTAGACTAAGAAAATGCAAAGGGTTATGAGACCTAAAAATCCTATATTAACTCCTATTCCACTAAATAATGTCTTTAACTGTGTAATCGGGCTGGCTTGTGCCAGCCTATTGGCTAGGCCTTGGAAAAACTCATTTTCATTAAACTCTGGAAGATTCTCTTGGAAGGTGCTTGTAATCTCTTGCTCGAGACTTTGGAGATCAGCAGTCAAATTGCGACCTCCAGTTAGCATATGCCACAAGGCCTGCCAATGTTTACTGCTATTAAAAGGGATAGGGGTGACACAGAATTTAGAAGAGTTCCAATCACATCGAAGGAATGATTGAGTAGTCAAAATGTGAATTTCATCGCCAAACCACCGAACAGTGCTTTGTAGGTGGAGGATCTCTCCTTCCAACCGACTATCAATCTCCTACTGATGTTGCCATAATTGATGAGAGTCCTCATGCCACTTGCGAATAAAACCAGCAGTCTGCACTGAGTGCTGCAGTGCCATCCCTGAAGTAGCAGCAGTGGCAGCAAAGGCAATTAAACCTGCAACAGCAGTAACTATAAGACCTATGGCTCTCTTGGCTCTGTGGGTCAAAGTTACTTTATTAAGAAAGGCAGTGATCATGGCCGACTCACTTCAAGGTCTGGACAAGTTAACAGGAAGCCACAGCTCTGTTCTAGCTTTTAGAATATATAAACTCTGGGCACTGGCATTAAATCCTGCCCAAGAGGTGTGATTAAGGCAAGTAAATAAAGAACAATTATTAAGGCAGGAGACTTGTCCTGTGGACTCATTCCACTGGATTGAGCCCATCAACAACAAGTAGGGATAGAATACACAGGCTAGAAGAGACCGTGAAAGATTACAGTGGAGATGAACTTGAAAACCTACAGAATTATTAAAAGATATGTTACAAAGCCAAATATTGATGTGCTGACCGGATGCCAACAATCTCCATATCTGTCCTTGCATATATAGAGTTCCCAATAGGTGGGGCTGAGGAGAAAGGCCTTTATCATGCCACATGATGGTCTCGTTGGCGGTGGCGCTTAAATGGTTTCCCTTCCGATGCCATTGCAGGGAATGACCAGAGAACTTTTCATGAAAGTCACTATGAGGACTCCAATCTATAATTTTGGGATGATCATGTAACAATTTTAAAGTCTTCCCTCTACATCGACTCCTCTCTATATGAGACAACGGAGGTTCGATGTGAGGCATGGAGCAAAGAGGCAATAGTGACTGCCCTTCAGATATATATAAGGCACACCCCTAAGTCCTCTGACTGACAAGAGCACGGTAAGGGCTGCAAAAGATGAAGTATCATACTGCGGGCCCCATGCTTCATGAGAAATATTCAATGAGCACTAGCCCCAAAACAAATGGGATATCCTTCTGCACTAAGTGAATAATTAGAGACCAGCTGACCTCCCTCACTAGGGTGTAATGAATATGACTGATAAGGGGCCGGCATCCAGTCAGAGTCGTTGGTATAAACCAGAACTTCAGGCTCTCCCCAGGAAATGGCTTAAACAAAGGAGGGTAAGGCACATATGCCCAGTAGACATGTGAGGAATTCGTAAGCCCCACCTGGCAAGTGACTATGGCCAGCATAGCCAAAAACACGGTGCTCGGATTACATGGCTGCTGGACTTGGAATACAATCTTTTCTGCTTCCTGAGTCAACTTCTTGAGCTGACCCCAAGTTGGGGGACCGCACACATTGTCCTGGGTGTTGGACTCCGCGCCTTCACGGAGAGGTTCCTGAATTCCCTGAGGATCTCCTCGGTCCGGATTCTCTTCGCCATATCTTCTCTTAAGGCGTCGCGTGGGAACCCACTCAGAGCCTCGCTCTGTGGAGACATAAGCATAGCCCGACCCCACTGTAGAACTTCACCCCCCACCGACTCCCCTGTGGGTGTAGAAACATACACGGGGTCACAGACTCTTTCTGTTGGCGAAGATGAAGAGGCAAAATGACGGTCCGCTGTGGAGGAATTTAATGTCTGCCAATGATTTAAAAAATTGGGAGTAAAGAGGGCTCGGAGTAGGTGACAATGAGGAGACTCTGGGACTCCCCCTTTTTGTTTTTGTAACTGAAGTTTAAGAGTGCGATTGGCACGTTCAATGATTGCTTGACCTTGGCTACTGAAGGGAATGCCTGTAATGTGATGGATAGAATACAAAGCAAGGAAATCAGCAAGTTTACGGGAGGTATACACAGGAGCATTGTCAGTTTTAAGAATTTCTGGAAGCCCCATGACTGCAAAACGAGAATAAAGGTGAGTAATGAAAGCCTTTGTAGAGCTTTGGGCCATGGCCCACTGAAAATGAGAATGGGTACCAATAGTGTGGTGATCATAACGGAGTCGCCCAAAGGAAGCAACATAAGTAACATCCATTTGCCAAATATGGTTCCCTTGTAATCCACGCGGGTTGCACCCAGGTGGGAAGGAAGGGAGGGTGAGAGCAGCACAGGTAGCACAAAAACGAACCATTGCACGGGCTTGCTTACGGGAGAGAGAGAAATGACATTAGAGGCCTTTAGCATTGGTATGGTGAAGAGCATGTTCAGTAAGGGCTTCTTGAACGGGGGTGACGAGAAGAGAATCAACACTTTTATTGCCTTTAGACAAAGGACCTGGTAATCCAGAATGGGATCGAATATGCACAATAAAGATAGGAAGGTGGTGAGCATGGAGGAGAGTCTGCAAGTGGGAGAACAAATATTGTAAAGTTGTTTGGGGGTTAAGTGGTAAAGAGACAGTGGGAAGTTGAGAAGTAACATAAACAGTATATTGAGAGTCACTGACAATGTTTAAGGCTCAGAAGGGAAATCTTGTAACACCAAACATTGCATATAGTTCACTCTGTTGTACAGATGTGAAAAGAGAAGTAACAACTCTCTACACTGTAGAACTCCAATAACTTACTTTTTGAGAGCTAGAAGCATTTGTAAAAAAAAAAAGTAGACCCTCAGAGAGGACTGGAAGAGATGGGAGACAGTGGGAGGACTGTGTGTACCTGCAAAAAAGAATACAGCTTATGTGGGGAATAATGGTTATCAAAGCTGCCAATGTAATCTGCACAGGCCACCTGCCAAGCAGTAGAAAATTCAAAGTTAGTTTGAATATATTTAGAGCTTAAACTGGTAACAATTTTACAGGGATCTTGTCCAGAGAATTGACGACATTGCCGGCAACCTCTAAGGATTAGCTGGGCAAGTTTATCCACGTTAGGAGTTTTTTATTCTGTTGATTTGGTAAGAGTATCCATTCAAGAATTCCATGGGTCTGTCCTAGACATCCAGAAGGGGAATGAAAGGTATGAAAAAGAAACAACATAACAGGGAATGAGGGTTCAAAAAAGGGGGGGAAACCAGAACTGAGACGCTGCTCCACAAATTGTAATTCTTGTTCTGCTTGTGGAGTGAGAGATTGGGGGCTATCGAGGGCAGAATCACCCTCGAGGGTAGCAAACAGATGTTGCAATGCATAAGTAGGTATACCAAGCAATGGCTGAAGCCAATTAATATCTCCAAGTAATTTCTGAAAATCATTAAGAGTCCTTAAGATTATTTCTCTGAATTTGTAATTTTTGGGGTCGAATCTGTGTTTCTGAAAGACAATACCCCAAGTAATCTAAGGGTGGGGTAGTTTGAACATTTCAGGGGCAATAACCAATTTAAAAAGCTTAAGGTGCTCTTGAAGATGAACAAAGGCAGCATCATGCAAAGCTTGTGATGGAGCAGCAGGGAGAATGTCATCCATGTAATGGTATAACACAACGGCAGGGTGCCGAACACGAACAGGATTTATGGCACGATCAACAAACTCTTGGCACAAAGTAAGGCTATTTAGCATGCCTTGAGGAAGCACCCACCACTGATATCTTTCAGTGGGGCGGCCATTATTATATCCAAGGTATAGTAAAGGCAAAACGTTCACAATCTGAAGGCTGTAGGAGGATACCCTATAATCCTAGCACTTCTGAAGCCTGAGAGGAGTTTGCAACAAGCCAGATCAAGAGCAAGATCCTGTTTCTACAAAGTATAGAAAACTGAAGCAAGCATGGTGGCACATGCCTGTAGTCCCAGCTACTTGGAAGGCTGAGGCAGGAAGACTGCATTCACCCAGGAGTTTGAGTTTTCAGTAAGTTCTGATGACACCACTAAACTCCAGCATGGGTGAGAAAGTGAGGTGCTCTCTCAAAAAAAAAATGTGTGAATATTCACACTGCAAAAATGTTACAAACACACCTATGAGGGAGACTGATAAGAAAATGACAAAATAAAAAGTGATTACTAAAGTTAAAAAAAAAACAAAATTCCTGGAGTGGGACTCAGACATTAGTACTGTTTAAACTTCTCCAGGTGATAACAATGTATAGCCAAGCCCCCAAACCACTGCTTTAATCTTTTTTTTTTTTTTTTTTTTTTTGAGACAGAGTCTCGCTTTGTTGCCCAGGCTAGAGTGAGTGCCGTGGCGTCAGCCTAGCTCACAGCAACCTCAAACTCCTGGGCTCAAGCAATCCTCCTGTCTCAGCCTCCCAAGTAGCTGGGACTACAGGCATTCGCCACCATGCCCGGCTAATTTTTTGTACATATATTAGTTGGCCAATTAATTTCTTTCTATTTATAGTAGAGACGGGGTCTCGCTCTTGCTCAGGCTGGTTTCGAACTCCTGACCTCGAGCAATCCGCCCGCCTCGGCCTCCCAGAGAGCTAGGATTACAGGCGTGAGCCACCGCGCCCGGCCTTAAACTAACATCTTTTGATGAACCAGTTGGAAAATGTTTCTCAAATGAATTATATAATGTTTGCTATTGAGTTGTGGCCTTTTATTATTACCTGTATTAATACCCACGTTTAATCACTTGCCAAATTGACATCTACTTTTCATTTTGTTCCAATTTGACCCAGTGTGACATGTACTGAATGTATACTATGCCCAGCTATCTGTGCTAGATGCTCTGACCTTGGAAAGCACTATTGTGAGAAAAAAAAATTAGCTGGGGAAAAATTAAAGCACACACACACACAATTAAAACCACATGATTTATCAAATTAAGGCAAAAATAGAAAGGCCTAAGAGGTCACCCAAAGGTTAGGGCATTAATACATAGAATTTTCTAATAATACCATGAGTGATCATGTTTCACTTCTGAAAAAACAATAAAACACTGCTATTATCTGGAGATACTGAGTAACAGTTTTTGTACAAATATGTAATATTTCAATTTTTATTGATATATAACACAAATAGAAAAAGGCACACACAAATATTCAATTCATGTGAGGCTTGATGGGTTACAATAAAGGGAATACAACTGTGTAAATTATAAACTTATATTCCCACCCATAAAAACATACATATACATATCTCAATACATATAAATTCAAAGATCCTACTTTACTATAAAGATACCTCAGTATTTTAACTAACTGGCTAGTTTTTTCTACTTAAGGGGATAATTTATATCCATCTAATATAGAATAGTTTCTAATAATTCTGATGCTGAAACAACATACCACATATTTTCATATAAACACTAGACATTAAGGCACAGCATCAACTGATTTGAGAGTTCAATTACATCAATAAAACATCCCTTTCAAACACCTCAAATACTGTCAATACAATAAAATGTCAACTGTAATTACACGTCTTCAAATGATAATGTGCTTACTCTTTTGAAACACATGGATCAATTTTGTAATTGCTCTGACTTAGGATTATTCTCTATAAGTACTCTGGTTTGGTGTAAACTTTTGCTTCAGTTCTTCTGTTAGTCTCTGATAGAATTGGATGAGTTTTAAATAGTTCCCTCATTTATTGCATATGTAAAGTTTCCTTCTCTATGATCTTCCTTGTAACCTGTAAATTGTATATTTCAAATAAAATGCTTTCCTTACTCATTACATGTGTAGAGTGTATCCACTATAAATGCTCTGATGTCAAGTAAGATTTAAATTATGATAAAAAAGCTTTGCCACATTCTTTACATTTGTAGATTTTACTCTCCAGAATGAATTCCTTCACATTGTCTAAGGTTTGAAGACTGGTTAAAGGACAGGCCACATTCTTTACATATATAGGTACTTACTCTAGTATGAATTCTCTGGTCCACAATAAGACCATAAGAATGAGCAAAAGCTTTGCCACATTCATTACGTTTTTATGGTTTTCCTCCAGTGTGAATTCTTTGATGCTGAGTAAGAGTTGAAGGAAGAATAAAACATTTACTGCAAGATTTTACATTTCTGAAATTTGTCTCCAGTATGAATTCTCTGTTGCTTAGTGAGATGTGAACTTCACTGAACACCTTTGCCACATTCTTTGTAACTATAGGGTTTCTTTCCAATATGGATATTCTGATGTTGAGTAAGATATGAACTACGGTTAAAGTCTTTGCCACATTCTTTACATTTGTAGGGTTTCCCTGATATGAATTCTTTGATGCCTACTAAAACTTGAAGAATAAGTAAAAGATTTACTGCACGTATTACATTTGTGAAATTTTTCTCCAATATGACCTCCCTGATGTTCAGTTAGATATGAGTGACGATTAAAGGCTTTGTCGCATTCTTTACATTTGTAGGTTTTCCCTCTGATATGAATTCTTTGATGCCTACTAAAACTTGAAGAATAAGTAAAAGATTTACTGCACACGTTACATTTGTGAAAATTTTTTCCAGTATGACCTCTCTCAAGTTCAGTTGGATGTGAGCAACATTTAATGGCTTTGCAACATTCTTTACATTTGTAGAGTTTTTCTCCAGTGTGGATTCTCTGATGTTCAGTAAGATTTGAAATATAATTAAAGGCTTTGCCACATTCCTTACATTTATAGGACTTCCCTCTAGAATGAATTCTTTGATGCCTAATAAGACTTGAAGAATAAGTAAAAGATTTACTGCATACATTACATTTGTGAAATTTTTCTCCACTGTGGCTTTTCTGATGTTCAGTTAGATGTGAGCTACGTTTAAAGGCTTTTCCACATTCTTTGCATTTGTAGGGTTTCTCTCCAGTGTGGATTCTCTGATGTTCAGTAAGACTTGATCTATAATTAAAGGCTTTGCCACATTCTTTACAATTGTAGGATTTGCTTCCAGTATGAATTCTCCAATGTTGAGTTAGGTGTGAGCTACGTTTAAAGGCTTTGCCACATTCATTACATTTGTAGGGTTTCTCTCCAGTGTGGATTCTCTGATGTTCAGTAAGACTTGATCTATAACTAAAGGCTTTGCCACATTCTTTACAATTGTAGGGTTTGCTTCCAGTATGAATTCTCTCATGTTGAGTAAAGTGTGAACTACACTTAAAGGCTTTGCCACATTCATTACATTTGTAGAGTTTTTGTCCAGTGTGAATTCTTTGACACTTAATAAGACTTGAATATGTAAAAGATTGACTGCATGATTTACATTTGTGAAATTTTTCTCCAGTATGAATTCTCTGGCGCTCAGCAAGGTGTGAGCTATTATTAAAGGCTTTGTCACATTCATAATATTTGTACAGTTTCTCTTCATTATGAATACTCTGATGTTGAATAAGGTGTAAAATATGGCTGCACACTTTGCTGTATTCATTAAATTTGTAGAGTTTCTTTTCAGTATGAATTATCTTGTATTGTTTTACATTTGATGACTGACTATAGACTTTCTCACATTTATTATATTTGTATGAATTTATTCCAGAATAGATTCCTTGCTGGTGAATATGATTTGATAACTGAGTAAAAGTCTCTAGACATTTATTAGATTTGGAAGACCTCTTTTGAGTACAGATACTACAATGGAATAAAAGATTTGAGTGTTGATGAAAGACTTTCTTACATTTTTTACATTTGTAATGGTCCCCTGAAAAATGAGTATTCTGATGTTTTCTAGGGCTAAAACCTTGGTTAAAGGGTTTTTCAGATTTCTGGCACTGATAATTTCTGTCTCCAATATAAATATCCTGGCAATCCTTTAGGATAGAGCTGTGGCTAAATGACATCAAAGTTTTATTATAGGTGTGATGTCTTCTCCAAAGATCTATACCCTGATATTGATTAAGCAATAATAAATGGGTAAAGACTTTCTTGTATTGAATGAAATTGTAGATTTTGGCACAGGAAGGTATTATTCTTTGGTGGAAGAATAATAAACTTTTAACAAAGTACTCATAAATTTGATATTTACAAATCTTCCCTTCATTTTCAAATCTCTGATTTTCAGAGATATTTGACCGTACATTAAATCCAAATTGATATTTTAATTGGTACAAATCATTATTTCGAACATGGACTAGGTCAGTATTTAGATTTTCCAAATTTCTTTTCAGAAAAAAGATATGTTCCAAAAATTGATATTTACTTATGACAATATTTGGTTTAGCAAAAGTAACTGGCATGAAGGAAGATTTTTTCCAAAATGTTTTAAGATTTTGACCTCTTGTATCAGTAGTGTTTTTACTATCAGTAGTTGTCTTATATTTGTTATGTCCATAATAACAACTGTTTTGGTCTTCACACTCACCCTCACTTTCCCATTTTTCCTTCAAGGGTAAATTTTCAAGGCCACAATTTCCACATACCCCCAATATCACTTTTTGGATTGGAGTTTCTATGCACTGTTTTGTCCACAAGCCTTGCATGTAATAAGAAAATAAATCTGAAAGATATAAAAAAATTTTAATTACTATATTTGGGTTAACATACTTTACAAGAAAAATATGTATAATTACACAAAGCTGTGAACATCACTATGATAGTTGAATTAAAAACCTGAGACCCTTGTTTATCCATGGGTATATTGTATTAACAAAAATATGCTAACAAAATACCAACTGAATATTCAATAACCCCAGTGAATACAAAGCCAAGAATACTCAAATTCAGTAGGAGAAAATTCATTACATTTGTGTACCACAGCAGAGAGGAATGAGAGAGAATAACTTTCCACTCTTTGTTTCTCCCTCAGGAACAGAGAAAAGAGTAGAACTTGTGTCCATAGGCTACAGTTTTTCTGGGACTACCTAAAGACTTGTTATTGCTTGCTTTAATATGCAGTGCTGAAGGGAATGGAAATATAGTTTAAATGACAGGTTGGGTCCACTGAAAACAAAGATGAATGTTTGTTACAGTAACAGAGAAACTGCACTACTAATGACATTTGCCAAGGGAAGCAAGAGATTAAATGAGTTCAAGAAGAAACATAAGGAACATTTTTAACAGAAAAACAAACAGTAGTACAGAGATAACACATATTTCTAACAGGTTGAAGAAACCCCTGGAGTGCCTAGTATGGTTAAATAGTGTCAGTTACTCCTTGTTCAAAGACATCACATGAAGGATGGGATAGGCAGCTGTTATTTAGATGACAGAAATCTTAACAAAAATTACAAGACATCAAAAAAACACGGCCCAATCGAAAGTTAAAAATGAATTTTCAAGAGACTCCATGAAGTGAAGATCTATACATTAGTTTTAAAAGAATTTAATAAATCTATTTTAAAGATGGTCAACCAGCTAAATGAGAACACAGAAAACAACAACAACAACAACAAAAAAAGGAAGGAAACAGTGCATAACAAATATTCTGGCCAGGAATGGTGGCTCATACCTGTACTCCTCACACTTCGGGAGGCTGAGGTGAGAGGACTGCTTGAGGTCAGGAGTTCCAGACCAGACTGAGCAAGAGTGAGACCCTGTCTCTATCAAAACCAGAAAAATAAGCCAGGAGTGGTGGCACTTGCCTTGTAATCCCAACTATTTGGGAGGCTAAAGCAAGAGAATAGCTTGATCCCGGGAGTTTGAGGTTGCTGTGAGCTATACTAATGCCTCGGCATTCTAGCCTGGGCAACAGAGTGAGACTTGAAGGGAAGAGGAAGGGAGGGGAGAAGAGAAGGAAAAATTCCATTACTAAAGCGAAGTAAAAATGATGAAAACACAAACATCAAGTATGGTGCTGAAAAGTAAGATAACTGAATGAAGATTCACTAGAGGAAGTCAATAGCAGACGTGATCTAGCAGAAAAAAAGGGCAGAAAGTGTGAAAATGAGTCATTTAAAATTATAGAGTAAGGATAGCAAAAAGAACAATAAAATGAGGAAAGGTAAAACAGCCTAAAGGACTTATGGGATAACATCAAGTAGGCCATTATACTGATAATGGGAGCTCTAGACTGAGAGGGGTAAAAAAAAGGAAGATTACTTGAAAAATAGGGGCTGAAAGATCCAATGACACTCTACAAAAAAGACACCTGCACTCGAATGTTTATAGCAGCACAATTCATAATTGCAAGGCTGTGGAAACAGCCCAAGTACCCATCAATCCAAGAATGGATTAATAAAATGTGGTATATGTATACCATGGAGTACTATTCAGCTCTAAGAAACAATGGTAATATAGCACATCTTATATTTTCCTGGTTAGAGCTGGAACCCATACTACTAAGTGAAGTATCCTAAGAATGGAAAAACAAGCACCACATATACTCACCAGCAAATTGGTATTAACTGAGCAGCACCTAAGTGGACACATAGGTACTACAGTAATAGGGTATTGGGCACGTGGGAGGGTGCGGGTATATACATACATAATGAGTGAGATGTGCACTATCTGAGGGAATGGTCATGCTGGAGACTCAGACTTGTCGGGGGACGGGGGGAATGGGCATTTATTGAAACTTGAAAATCTGTACCCCCATAATATGCCAAAATAAAAAAAAAAAGGGGGGCTGAGAAATTTATAAATTTGAGGGAAATTTAAAATTTAAAGAAGCTCAGCCAACTGTAATTAGGTTTAAAACAAAGGGAACCATAGAAAAACATGTTATACTCAGAAATTTCAAAGTCATAAAGAAAATATTGAAATCCACAAGAAATGACTTGCCTATGAAATGATCAAGAAATGTTGCAGTCAAAAATCTTACAGACTATGTACGTGTAGAATGATATATTCAAAGTGCTGAAAAATGACATCTCACAACCAAGAACACTATTTCTGGCAAAAATGATCTTTAAAATGAATTAGAAATAAAGAATTTATAAGATTAACAAAAGCTGAATAAATTGATATCCAATAGACGTGTCCTATAAGGAATGTTAAAGAGCATTAGTTCTTCATGTTGAAAAATAAAATGACGGTAAATAGCAATAAAAATCATGTGAAAATGTAATGTTCTCTGGTAAAGGTAGTTACACAAATATAGTATTTTTCATTATCATAATAAGGGTGCATATAATGCTTTTAATTCTAACACAGATTCTAAAATACAAACATGTGAGAATAACTATAAATTTGCATTACTGGATACACAAGGCAAAAAGATATTTGAGACATCAATAAAGGGATGAGGGATGTAAATCAGCAGGGCTTTTGAATACAATGGAAGGTATCATCTTAGAATAGATTGTTATAACTTCAAGATGTTGTATGTAATATCTATGATAACCACAATCAATATACGTATGGTACGTACTCAAGAGAAATGAGAAATAAATTAAATCATATCACTATAAAAATCAATAAAACACAAAGGAAAACAGTAACAGAGAAAAACAGAAATAAAATTGCTATAAGACCTACAAAAACAAATAAACATGCAATAGTAAGTCATTCCCTTTCAGCAACTACTTTATATGTAAAAATAATCTATCAAAAGACAACTTAGCTAAATAAATTCAAGAAACCATACTAATTCTATGCTTTATACAAAAATATAACTTTACTTCTACAAACACATGGGCTGAAAATGAAAGCATAGAAAAAAAATTATTGACTGAAATGTCAAACACTGTCACAAACAAAATATGTTACATTGAAAATTTTCAGAAGACCAGGCACAGTGGCTCACACCTGTAATCCTAATTCTTTAGGAGACTGAGGTGGGAGGATTACTTGACACCTAAAGTTTGAGACAAGCCCAAACAACATAGTGAGATCACATCTGTACAAAACTAAAAAATCAGCCATTTACGGTGGCGCATGCCTATAGTCCCAGCTACTCAGGAGACTGAGGTAGCAGGATTGTTAGATCCCAGCAATTGGAGATTGCAGTGAGCTGTAATCATACTACTTCACTCTAGCCTGAGTAATATTTTGAGACCTTTTTATAAAAAACATTGTCACAAATTTCAAGAAAATCATTGTATAATGACAAAAGCGTTCATCATAACCCAACATCAGCAACCCAAATGTATAAAGCAACTATTTACACAATTGAAGCTAGAATCAGACAGTAACACAATAATAGGAGACTTCAATATCAGACATTAAATAATGCAAAGAAAAAACAGATAGAAGATCAGTAAGAAAAAAGAGAACATAAACAATAATAGGGAACAATTAGCCCTAATAGTCATATACAGAAGTCTCTACCTAACAACAGAATACATAGTACTCTTTTTGTTTGTTTGTTTGAGATGGAGTCTCACTCTGTTGCCTGGGCTAGAGTGCTGTAGCGTCAGCCTAGCTCACAGCAACCTGAAACTCCAGGGCTCAAGCAATCCTTCTGCTTCAGCCTCCCGAGTAGCTGGGACTACAGGCGTGCACCACCATGCCCGGCTAATTTTTTCTATGTCTTTTTAGTTGGCCAATTAATTTCTTTCTATTTTTAGTAGAGACTGGGTTTCGCTCTTGCTCAGGCTGGTTTCGAACTCTTGACCTTGAGGATGCCTAGGCCTCCCAGAGTGCTAGGATTACAGGCATGAGCCACCGTGCCTGGCCAGAATACATAGTACTCTTAATCACATATGACACATTAACCCAAATAGACAACTTATTATGCCACAAAACAAGCCATAAGAAATTTAAGTGGATGGAAATATACAAAGTATCATTTATGACTATAATTGAATAAAACATAAAGTTTAAACCTGAAAAAAAATACCCTGCCATGTCCATGAATAGGTGGAAATTAAACAAAAATCTCTTGAACACACTCTGGTTCAGGAGTTAATAAAGGACTTAATATTGTTAAGATGTCAATACTACCTATAGTGATCTTCAGAATCAATGTAATCTCTGTATAAATATTAGTGGAAACATTTTCAGAAATATTAAAATATTCTAAAATTCTGATGGATTCTCAAGGGACCACAAATAGTCAAACAATCTTCTAAGAGAAAGACAAAGTTTGAAGTACCATACTGTGATTCCAAAACTTACGACAAAGCAACAGCAATCAAAATAGTGTGATACTTTCACTGAAACACAAATATGATTAAACAGATTAGACAGAATAGAAATAAACCCTCATGCACATAGCCAACAAGGATTCCTAGCCCTCAAAATGAAGAAAGGAGGTCTCTTCAACAAATTGAGTTAGGAATACTGGAAATCTTCATGGAAATATGAAGTTGGACCTTATCGTGTACCACATGCAAACATGATCTCAAAATGGACTTAGTTTTCTTATAGCTACTGTAAATGGAATTTCAAAATTTCAGATAGGTCTATTAGCTTACATAAATGATAATGATTTTTGTATGTTGATTTTGAATTCTGCACCTCTTCTGAATTTATTAGTTCTATCAATTTCTTGATATGATCTTTAAGGTTTTTTTTAGATAAAATTATTTTTGTCTAAAAATAGGAACAATTTGACTTCCTACTTTCAAACTGAGATGCCTTTTCATTCTTTCTCTTCCTATGGCTCTGGCTAGAGTT